CTGCCCCATGAATGTTCTTTCTTATGCTCAAATAGCGTTTAAAATATATATATATACTGTATACACACACACACATATAATATATATATATATATATATACACACACACACACACACTGAAAAACTGATGTGCAAATGAATCCTCGTTTTTGAATGAATCCAAGGTTTTTTATTTAATTTTTTATTTAAAATTTATTTTATTTAAAGAAATAAAATTTTGGTCTTAGTTAAAGTTAACTATCTTTTATTAAGTAACTTTTCATTGACTGTGTTACCTCAGCACCATCGGGGTCAATATTTTGACTGTAGTTCAATTTTTCTTTGGTTTTATATTTTCTTTTCTCAGGAGAAGCAGCAGGAAACTTCATTGAATCTCATTACTGTCTGTGTGAAACGGATTGTTCTTTCCTGTATTTTCTCATCTCGTCTCAGTCTGTGGTTGTAAATCTTATGCCGCGTGTCTGTACGAGTTTGACAATTAAAAGTACGTGTTCGATTTACCATTTACGTTTGACTTTGGCATTTGGAAATGTGAAGATTGCAGCAGCAGAGGATGTGCTGTTTTCATCAGATCTCACGCTTTTTGTCTGCAAGTTGATTTTGATATTAAGTCTGGGTTAGCTGAAGTTTGCAATATAATTGTGAGCCTGCAGCACAAAAGCAGCCTTAAGTCGCTGGGGTATATTTGTAGCAATAGCCAACAATACATTGTATGGGTCAAAATTATAGATCAATCATTAGGATATTAAGTAAAGATCATGTTCCATGAAGATATTTTGTAAATTTCCTACTGTAAATATATTAAAACTTAATGTTTGATTAGTAATATGTATTGCTAAGAACTTCATTTGGACATCTTTAAAGGCGATTTTCTCAATATTTAGATTTTTTTTCACCCTCAGATTCCAGATATTCAAATATACAAATAGCCAAATATTGTCATATCCTAACAAACCATACATCAATGGAAAGCTTATTTATTCAGCTTTCAGATGATCTATAAATCTCAATTTCGAGAAAATTTACCCTTATGACTGGTTTTGTGCTCCAGGGTCACAATTTATTTGAAGGACATTCAGGTTTGTTTGAATGGAACGTACAGTAGTGCAATCGTTCTGTCGCGATTGTCCTTTAAATATTCACGTCATCCACATCTAAAGCATGCATAAATCCAGCACAACTGCACTGAGAAGCAGCGGTTCAGAAGATAAACTGTGCCACAGGTCCGATCATCTTATGTGCCGATGTTGTTGTTGTTGTTGTGATGCAGAGACAGCTGTCAGTCTCTGGCAAGCACAGGCTTCTGTCTGTGCCGAAAAATACATCTGCAAACAAGCTGTGACATGAAGATTTATGCCCCATTTCCCAAACTATTTTATTCTGCTGGTCATTTGCATTCATCAAGCTGTCTGTTTGTTTTGTGCTCCAGTGGGTCATGTTCTGCCCCAAACTTCTCTAGTCTGAGTTTGGATTTAAATACACAATGTTCTGACCGCATTGACCGATGCTTTAGAATTCTGCAATCATAAATATTAACAGTTTGTTTGTTTTGCGAGATGCCGCAGACATAATTTTTCTCATGCTAATCTGAACAGCAGGAGCATGAATTCAAGTAAATAGTGTCAATTTTGATTTCACACTGAAACAGATATATATATATATATATATATATATATATATATATA